AAGTACCAAACAAAAGCAACTACTGAAATAACCMAAAGTGAATTATTCAGTTTAAAACTTGATTACCTCAGTGGACTTGAAAACAACAGAAGCCTAGGATGAAAAAAACATACATTATCTATCTGTGGCAAGGCAGTCAGTTTGCGAATAGTTGTAGCTGATTTACGCTCCTCGCTTTTCCAGTTTTCATCGTTTTTGTATATTTCGGACCTTTTATCCATTTAATTTTTTTTTTCTACTAATCCCGCTCGCTTGTCAGTCTGACACAGGAAGCCCTAAGAAAGATAGGACTGCGGAGGAGGCTGATTAGCGAGAAAATACCCACGGGAACCAAGGGATTATCGTTCCATAGCAACAGCGCATTTTTTTAAAGAAAAACTTCTGGTTTGCCGGTGCAGCAGTTACACAGAGTGTAAAAATAAAGGCTGTTGTCGGCAGAAAGAATCTTCAAGCCACAAATCCCATCTGTGAATGCTGTGAATGTGTCCGGAAAATGGTCAAAATTCGGACACATTTGCGTCTTCCCATACATTTCTTTGCAAATTTTAGAATATTTGAAAGGCCGTAACTCGTTCACTATTGAACTGATTGACACAAGATTTTGGAATTTTGCATTTCTCAACATGGGCTTTCTTTTTATGTAAGTCTTATCTCGTGAAATCTCGTGATCATCCAATTAAGGGATTTTGCCCAGTCCCCACTCGGTTTGAAATCCGGCAATAACGCTTAAGTCAAAGAACAGAATTAACTGACATTAAAATTTTGAGCCAGTGGACTACCCAAGAAATCTAAAAAAAAGAAATCTATGCGCTTGTCAGTCTGTCTGCTCGATGCACCAGTAGGGACGACCACTTGAATTTTTTTTTTCTTTTTTTTTTTTTTGATTGGGTGGGGGTAGGGGAAATTTTTTTGAAGTACTGATATTTGTTTTGCTCTGTTTGACATTTCTCGGTATTTTTCCACAAGTTAAAAGCCTTGGCTCGATACATTTTGGGGGGGGGGGGGGCAACATCAAACGTTACCGAACGAATACGCACTCAACTAGGAAAAGAAATAACGAAAAAAAATCAAATATCTTTTGCACAGGTAGAGCTTGTAAGCGTATTCAGTATCTTGACAAATGATGCTGCTAACATAGGTACGATGATGATAATAAACCGACTTTTTGGAAAAGCTGTCTAGATTATGAGAATATTGGAAAGGAAAGGAATGCCGCGGCACCTTGAGATTAGTACATTATTTGCATATAGCTTACTTTGTCTGCTGGACATGGTTCATTYAGATCAAGTGTACAACCTCGAGTTGCTTTACCAGTAGGAAAGTCTTGCCCACCATAAAACACATACGCCTCGCCTTCTTCGGCTAAATTCAAAAAACRGCAATTAAAAACCTGCAATTATTGATCCACTTCTTAAACTTGGTTCTGTCCTAGTTCCTACCTCCTTTCAATTCTTCAGTGATGTCAGAAGTCCTAAACGGCGATGAAAATATCAAATCGTCGACTCCATCCAAGTTCAAATCCATAAAGCCAACTTTCCATCCAAACCTAGCGAAGCTACGGTCGCCTTCAAAGAGCGTTACATCGTGAAGTCCCGACAAAGGTACGTCGCCTTGATGTGACATGATCTCRTTGAGGTTCAACATGTAAATGGTCCCACATTGTTCAAATGTCTCAGACACAATCTTAGAAATTCGACCTTGCACGGCTAGAAAATACCAATGAGAAGGTAAAGATAGCGCGCGCACATGCCACTCGACTTCAGCGAAAAAAGCAGTTCTCTGGCATACTTTCTCCAAAACTGACATGAATTGAAAGRTATTAATTTAGCTACAGCCTCCTTTGGATATACTAAATACGAGACTACAGGGAAACAAAAGGATCATTTATTGTTTCCCTTAGCCTCATAACGATTCTTTTGTGCGTCAAACGAAATATAGAAAGAGGGTTTTTGGGTCGGATTTTTGCTTACTTGGAGGCTGCTCAGTTAACTTGATTGYTTGGTTGGTCGATGGACCTGTCTGTCCGTTGGGTGTTTAGTTAGTTKTTTGATCAGTTCACACTGGTTGATGGGTCGGTCGGTCGTTTGTTTTAGTGTTTCGTTCTTGATTAGAATGATTAGTTGGTTAACAAACAGCAGAATTCCTTAGTTACTTACACTTAGTAGGCGCGGATACTGCTAACATGCCGCCCGTGRCATCTGTGCGCGGTCTGCCAAAAGCTAATGATGTTCCTAGTTTCATGAAGGTCTCATGTCCTGTGATGGTAACCAATGGATGGGACGCGTTCTTTTGTAGGTGGTACATGTACACTCTRCCAGCACTCTGAGTATCATTGGTAGAGTAATTGCAGTCGGTATTGGTACATATCCTACATCAAACATAACTCATTTTATTAGAACTTAAKGTTATTCTATATATTATATGGAATATTATCGCCTTCACGTTTAAAGCCGACGCACTGTAATAGTTTAAGTAAAATGTAAGAAATGTAATTAATGAAATATTGTACAGATATTTTAGTTGTGATCTTTATTATCTATACTTATTACTTCGTACCTGAATGTAGGAGCACCAACAAAGAGCAGCGGTTGTTTATCAAGGTCGACAAACTCTATAGAGTAACCAAACCAACTGAAATCTTGTTCACCAACAAGCTTTATATCAGCATCAGAATCTGTATACTTCACACCAGTTTTTCGTGGTGTTTTTGCTAAAAATACGCACACTGATCCCCTTTGTGGACCACCCTCGGGCGCATATGGTGATCCAATGATAAGGTCTTTATGTCCGTCATTGTCAACATCAGCTCCTAAGAGGGTGGTACCTAGGTTGTAATATTGTCCTTGAGCAGTGATTTGAATGCTTGGTTTTGAGGCAAGACCTTTTCCTGGTATCCCGTAGTAAATATATACGGTGCCTGTGTACTCAAGACTGTTAGAACCTGAAAATCACAAATGATTGGTTATCATCATGGCATCACCAATGTCATCATCGATCATCATAAGCATTAAAGGTCACCATCATCAATGAGAAACAGAAAATATTGGACACGTTGATCACGTAAAACCGGCTTTCAGCAAAAGCTGTCCCCGTGAGTCCCAGTCAAGTATTTTGAAATTCAATAGACACTAATATCATAAAATTCTGCTATTATAGCTGACCGATAAACATTATGAATCAAACCTGTTGTAGATGCACTCACAGCAAGATCATCTATTCCGTCCAAGTTGAAGTCAACAACTGCTAAAGCTGTACCAAGTCGACCATTGTCATCCATACCATCTAATATTGTATGTGCTTTAGAATCTAAGTCCATATGCTCTTGAGGCAATACGCCCTCTTTGTCAGTATAAACAACGTAGACGCGRCCACGTTGACTTTTACCASGAGTACCATAATTCGGTGCGGCAATAACCAGTGCATCAGAAGACYCACTATTAAAGCTTCCTTTGATCAAAGACCTTGTAACGAATAACATAACAGAAAATGACATCTTTCCCTTCGTTGTAAAACGTGCTTCTTGCCGTTACTCGTAAAATATATGTCAGTTCTGTATAATATGCATTGTTCCCGTGACATATTGACTATATACACTGTCACAGATGGACCAGGGCATAGTTAATAGAATATAACTATGGCCAGGGAGAGGACTCACAGCCTCCTTCCCTTCCTTCACACACATAAGCATGAAAATTTCTAATTACAAAAAAACKGTTCTTTTTACCATCCCAAATTTGCATATGGAACATCCGTGGAATACAGCACAAAGTTTGAATCAGCACTACCAAGAGTATGAATCTTTGCTTTCATTTCCTGAGAGTGAATCTTATCGTGGAGATGTCTTGTTGGGTATAAATAACTTCCTTGAAAATTATGAGAAAAGAAAACGAAATTTGAGATGTTGTTTTAAAACTCCGAAAAAAGTTTGTGGAAAGAGGCGCTTTTAGCAAGGRGACCGCGWCTTGAGGATGGCRTTCTTTTGCATGGTAATCATTGTAAAACAGRACGTAGTCTTGTGTACAAATATATCATACAATTAAATCTTTTATCAGTTAAATCAGTTAATTTGCGCAAAATGGCATTAACATGTGTATTTTTAAATAAATTTTTATAAATTTTCACATAAATTTTTTAAAAACAGTACCTCGTCTCGTAGAGATCGTATTTATGTCCATCAGAGACAAACCTTCGTATGATTTCATATTGAAAACAGTTCCTGGGTTCTTTAAGATGGGTGTTGCTTGAGAGAGCAGTTCTTTCGATTTATTACACTGGATGAACAACGGGTTTTTTGGTATTTTACAAATATTAGTGCCATGTTCTAACATGGTAATAGCATCATGCCAAATCAATCCTGTCCAGGCAGCCATGTCAGAAATACCTCCTATTGATCATATATGAGATATCGTTCAGTTATCAGAGAAAATAAACATTTCWTATMTGACATGCATTAAGATATATCTTTTCCATGATTTGGTAAGAACCAATTTCTACACTCGGTTAGAAAAAGGAMAAAAATACATAGCACACTTGAAAAGTATGGAACTTAAATAATGAAAACATTATTTATACACAGCCACCACTACATGCCACATTTGATAAATCATAGGAAACAACTGAGTTTATCACCAACCTTTCCTACCCTACCCTTAACAATTCCTTCTTTGCAGCAATGCATCACTTTGAACCATTATACCATTATCCACATAAGTGCTTTTAAAAAACGGTGGTTCCTAAGAATAACATGCTAGGACGTCGAGAAAATAAATACTGTACCTTGGAAATAACTGTGCAAGTCCTCCATCAGATATGGTGAAGTTTTGGCATATTTTTTGAACAGCTTTGCCCCTGCAATCTTCTCACCAACCCAACCAAGATACATTAGTTTAGTACATTTCAATATTTCRTCTGATGTAATRACCTGCTTTCCACCATAATATTCATTGTATATGGCAGCCAAATCCTCTGTTGGAACATACCTAGGCAGATAATGACCATAATGCTACTATTATCATCACAACTGTCAGTTATGAGCTTTGTCAACTGTGCACAAATACAAAGGATACTAGCAGTGTCTTCCTATCTGATGCATTGATATCATAGTCATTGGTTTTTTAGGCACGGGCAGGCCGCATAGCATCCTTTACGCATATACGCATGTGCGTACTAGTGGCAAGGAAATATTAAAATTTTCACAAGAATTACTGAAAAATGCACATAAAATTGATCCCTTTTATATGCTCTCGATGTCCCTCAAAATGCATTTCCAAGTGTTATCATTTCAAAATTTCCTGGGGGAACTCCAGACTCCCTCAATACTCCCACCTTTGGCGATCGTTAGACCCCCAGATCCAAAATATGTATTGCGGACCCTGGCATATGCGTACTAGCCAAAACTACTAGCACCTGAGGGGTGAAGGTAACTCAAGCTGGGGGTTGTAAACTCCACAAAAATTGTCATAAATGAGAAACAAAATAGGGGGAAATATCACAGCTGGGTATGAGGTAAGAAAATGGTATACCCACCATCTGGATCAGCCAATAGCTGAAACATACATTACAGGTTACAACTATTTACCAGTTCTCAACTGCTGAAGAAATCTGTTCTGTGTCTCCTTCTAATGTGGAAATCATGTCCCCRCCAGGATCACCAATACTATGTGCTGCAGGGAAGGATCCAAAGAAATTCACTTTTCCCATAGTTTGCAGAAATCCTTGTTGGATGCCTAAACTATGCCAAGTAATGTCAGCAACTTGATGYGAGACAAATCCAAGCATGAAAACAACAAGCTTTTCTGTCTCCTAAAAATAGCAGAATTATGACATATTTATTGTGATAATCTTTAACTCTGAAAGCTTCTAAA